TGCGCTCCTGGAAGTCATCGGGGCTATATAACCAAATTCAAGTTTCATCGCCAATGAATTTGTTATAAGTAAAATCTGGCGTGTTCTTATATGAGGGAAGGGAACGTGGATGGCGTTAGATAAGCGCAAAATCTATAACGGTTTTGCACTAATCTATTATGCTGGGAATTAGGTAGGACAAGGATAGCTATATCGTTCTTTGTCTATATGTTGACAGCGATCGCGGCATTTCTTTTATACATTGATTTAAGATCAACCAAACATATTTTCTATACCTTACTTTGTATCTAAATGAACAGCTATTTAAACATGCTACTATATTTGTCATAAGACATTTCATTAAAAATGCTATATTAAATAGAACCCTGTGCAACACTATGCGTAACTAAATTCATCTTTAACTTTCATCAAAAAGAAAAAAAATTCTTTTAGAATTTCGTACAAACACTCTTAGAAGGGATCTTATCTTTGAAATATATTCGGAGCGGGCATAAAGTTTGTACATCACTATACTTCAATTATGTTTGTAATGAATTAAATGCAACAATAACACAGTCCGATTGTTAGTGATACAATGAGGTGATGGTGACGTCACTCACCATTCTGACTTCTATTGTCCGACGCTAAAGGGTCATCGGATATCGTAGATGGTTCCCTCGAAGACGCAGAAGGTGGCGCAAGGTCGCGGAAGTTCGCTGTAAAGTTTATATCTTACCATAGGTTTTCACTGACGAAAAACATGTATGAATAATCTATTCTTACATATCTTGTTTTAGTAACTTAAGTAATACTTAACAGACATGTTTTGTTACTTAATTTTTGTTGCTAAAAGTTAACTTTTTTATAAGAAATCACACTTATTCTAATTAAAAAAATATATTTTAAATACATTATACCAATAGAAACAACAAAACGTTTATTAAAATAAACTTGCTAACAAATTTAGCTAAACTATAATTCGTTTTTTTGTCGTGTTTAGGATAATTATTTTCCTATATATTTAATAGTTAAAGTGACTCACAGTGGGTTTCGGCGGCGCCGCTCAGTATCCTGCCGATGCGGCCCAGTGACGTCATACTCTGCAGGCTCATTGTGTCGTGAGATATTATTCTACAAAACACAGCTCAGCTCAATTCTCTACACTTCTATAACTCTATACTTAATGTTACTCGGTATTTGAAAAAATAATAAAAAACATAGCAAATGTTACTTAGTGATAACGTGACTTTAAAATGGTGAAAGAATTATCGAAATCAGCCCAGTTTTTTATTTTCTACAATACATATAAATACAAATCTTCCCACTTTATAATATTAACAGAGATTATTATACTTAATTCCTGAGGTCCAAAAAATATTAATAAGTACATAAGTACATGATGACACAAATACGTCCAATACATATAATTAGTGAAGCTAAAATGAGATATAGAATAAAAGATAAATATATCAAACGGATGTCACAGCATTTTTTAACTAACGAGATTGTTTGAAAAATTACAATGCGTTTTTTTTCACTTATCAATAGTACCGGTTTAGCGCTACTAGCGCCCTCGGCGACATTTCTACGACGCCCTTTACGCCACACTTTATTGGTGAAAGAGGGGTTAACATGTGAAGACTGTGTAATTTGACATAGTAATGCAATTAGAGGAGTTTTACAGTTTTTTAAATTAACAAGTTACTAACTTGAAGGGATGTTCTAATGCATAAGTGTGGTCGGAGGGCAGAGCCGTGTCAGGCACTCCGTCGTCCTCCTCTTCCGTCTGCATGCAGCGCCGCAACTCCTGGAACCTCTTGCGGCCCTGCACCACCTGGAAAATTCACAGATGACATTAATATGACAACGGTAACTAAAAATCTCCTCAAGATATCCTTAACACTTAAATACGTGATTTCTCAAAATCTTTCAAAAAAATCGTATTTAATCTAATATCGTTATAATAATAAAGATAAAATAATTAAAAATCTAGCAAATTATACAACAGTGCGCATTTAAAGGTTTACTTTAAAAATATGCATACATCTAAAATTTTTAATTTTAAATTTGCAATAACAAATTCAGTCACACAATGTGCACCTCACATTCTATACACATTTTGTTACATAAATAAAATAACCACACACAATAGAGTTACGTATCGGTCGACATCGTAATGACTTACAACTAAAATTATGCGAGTAATTATCCAATATACAAGTCTTCGGTTAAGTGGAACATGAAATACTTGCAGTAAAAATTGCGCGACGGTACAGACTAATTTGTACTATAAATAAGAAAAAAATATTCATTTCTAACAACAATAAGCACTAAAGGAGCATAACACATCAAGATTAAAAAAGATATGCGTGAAATCGACCAACCCACAGTCAAATGTGACTGATAAAGGTCCAGTCACCCCTAACTTAGGGTTCCAAGTTAGAGGGGATGCACAATACAACATTTGCTTACACTTTTAAAACATTTATTTTCAAACATTAGTGAATCCTTTGTAAACTATTGCATGTTTTAAAACACAAATATTAAAACATTCATATGATTAACTATGTCACTATATGCAATTATTCTTTCTAATAAAACTTTCAAATTTACACAGAAACCGGTAATAATAAAGTTATTTAGAAAAATAAAACAAGGTGGTAAATTGAAAAATTGTACTTATGACAGTCTACATAGGAGCCTTTCACATGTCTAAACTAACACTGCAGATATCAACTATGAAATTACTCAATTATACTTATTAAATAATATTGTCATCCCTATTTTTTAAAAGAGAATAATAAGGACAACATTTTACATAAGTGTTATAACACTAAAAAACACAAGGAATGAACAATTTCAATGACAATTACTAACAAAGGCATTTATTTAAACAATATGTTTTAATTTTTTATGAGTCATTAAAATATTTGACCTATTATTAATGTCAAAAACACAACAATTATGTCAACTCAATGGAATTATATTCTATGGAAGGATTTTCCTTAATATTTGTAGCTTAAACTGCTAAACAAATCTTGATGACATTTACACAGATGTAGAAAACATAGACAACTTTTGTTTTTTCTAATTACACCCAGTTAGTCGCGGGCAAAAGCTTGTTACAATTTTGTATTTGCGACTAACAATATAGACTTTATCTGGTAAAGCTGGTTTTAGCATTACCAGTGCTCTGGATAATTTTTTTACTTCACCACATTTATTATCAGGTGCTGGGAGGAGTTAATAGATTAGAGATGTTAGGTGGTCACCCATCCTCACCCAATTCTAATACTGGTAATGTTCATATGGAGAGAGGAACTACAATAGAAGTAGACACAGCTACTATACATTATTCCAATTCAAACCTACAGTTTTTTACAGACAAATGTCACTTAAATAAGCATTACGCTTCATTAGTTTGTAATCATACTAATATTTTAAAGTTTAGATGGATGGATGGATGTTTGTTAGAGTTTGTAGCCTAAACGGTTGAATGGATCTTGATGAAACTTGGTATAGATGTGGAGGATAGCCTGGAAGAACACATAGGCTACTCACTTTTGTTTTTTTTTTAAATCCATGCAGAGTCGCGGGCGATAACTAGTAGGTATTAAAATATAGACTTACGTTTTTAACGCTAGTCCTGTCATCTTCAACATTAGTGTCAGCAGGTGTACTATGTGTTGTGGGTGCAGGCAACTCCTCAGCTTTCGCGGGAATCTTTTCCTTCAGTAGTGGAGATCCACCATCAGTCACATTTATGTTCTTACATAATGATGACCTCCTAAAATTGATGCATATAAATTAGTTTTAGTTTTATAACCATGTTGTTTCTTTCTAATAGGGTATAATTGTAATAGTAAAATAAGTAAATAATCAAAATTACATTCTCATGAAATTCATGGATATTACACCTCTTTTTTGTTAAACTATTTTTTTATAACTTGTAATGTTAGATGACATAGCTAACATTAACATAAAGGTGCGCCGTTTTTTGTTAGTCAACACCAATCAAGGACAAATAATGAAACAAACTATGATACTAGCAAGTTTAAAAACGAATACCATATTGCATCGAGATATTTAATAAATACTCCTTGTACATTTAATTCAGCTTTATTCTCAATATCTATACAACACTGACGAAATATTTTTAGAACTCTTGTAAGATTTGTATGAAAGTAAACTAAAAAGATCGTGAAAGAATAAACACAGTCTTACTTTGAACCCTTGATGGGTGTGAATTCCTCGGCGTCGTAGAACTCTTCTGAATCACTGCTGTCGCCCATTATATTACTTATACAATAAGTAACAAACAATAGATCTTATATTGTATACTGTATGTTTACAACATCATCCAATTAATTATTATTTACAAAGAAAGTTGAAGACAAATCTCTCAACCATTTTAACAAACTGACAGATTATATTCTGACATTTGAAATTGACAGTTTATGACATTTGTGGATTTTTCAGTTCGAAAACATCTGCAAAGAACAGCTGAATGATTTGATAGTATTTCACGCAATTTTCGCAGTTTACTTCTAAAAAATTTAAATAAAAATTCTTTTGTATGTATATATGATTAAACTATATTTTTACTGTAGAAACAAATACATTATGTTTACTATTTTATTAAACCGAGGTTTATTATTCTTTTGTAGGTTAGGTAGGTAGTTCTTAAATCCATTTATGTCCGTTTGATATTTTTTTATAGTTTCATCTAAAATCATCCTAAAAGTGTTGTACCATTAGTATTTTTGTATTTATACCTCATTAGAGGATAAATATTGGTGTTACGGCTGATTTGAAATGTTATTGACCATAGCTCAGTCCTGATGTAAGACCTTCGCTCCTATTAGGGAAGAACAAAGAATTCATTCATCGCTCAAATGTGGTAAGGTTAGGTGTGGGCCACAATCAGGCACAATAGAAACGTTACGGTTGTAGGCGCGCTGTAGCCTGGACGAGGCAAAGGTAACTTGAGATGTCAGGAAATGACTGCTGTCCGAACTATTCGTCGAGAAATTAGAATGAGGGTTTCTCAGTGTTGAGATTTTTTAATACGGTACGGTGTTAAGTACCGGGATTAAGCAGTCCTACTTTATGCTAAGTGATTATTTATTAACTAATGAGATAAGCAGAATACAGTAAATGCTAATCTTGATGGACATATTTGTCATTTAGATCGATGCACTATTTTTTTAAAGATTTTATTAGCTACTTCATTTCACGATAGAAATTGTACAATTTAAATTCTATTTTTAAATGTAAGGAGTCATATTTTGAGATGACTCATACTATGTTTATCGTGTAATATCTCGTACGTGATGGTACACAAATCGATAAATTTGAACCCGACTTATCTAAAAGTTATGTTTTGTGTTCCTAACAGTAAAAAAATATTCACACAAAAAAAAATTTAACATTTCGGAAAAAAGCTGTATTTCTTATCCACTCTGCGCTTTTTTTGTTTACTTCTTTCCTGTGTAAATTTAATGTGCTTGCAATAACATTATCTTATTGTATTGATAACGGTAAATGGCAAAATTAATATCAGATACCTATGTTAATTTATAAAACAAAAATGATCGTAATTGATTACTAGCACACCTTTGTTTTTGTTACGAAAATAAACGAACAGTATAATCATGTTTTTTTTTTATTCTAACATTATGATGGTAATGTCATCCCTCTTGTAAGGTTGCACCAGCTTTTCGTCGTCAAGAATAATAACAATAAAAGAGCGTCTTTAATAATCTTCTCTGTTTACGAATTCAGTTGATTAAAACGTACCTAATCAGATAGATATTATTATCGACAAGTACGACTGAATACTACCTGGTTGTTTTTGATTGGAGAGGATGATTGCAAGTCATCAAGTGATGACCACCAACAGAAGTTTCATATCAAATGACATCAGCGCATGGATAACACGTAGCAAGCTGGTGATATCGGAGTAGATAGCTGAAAAGGATTTATTCTAAACGTTATCTGACTTTGCCTTCAAAATGACGTAATGCAATTGTGGAAGGCATTGGGGATGGAAGTTGCATAAAGGTGAACGAAGATGTAATCATTTAGTGAGCCTTCAGAGTATACACCTTTGACTAAACTATCGCACAACTGTTTAGTCTTTTTTAATTCTTATGAGCTTACGCAAGTACCCACACTACTTGATTTCTTGTTGTACAACTAAACAGTTGAATTGGCTATGAAACAATTGACAATCGCACAACAGTCGTGCGATAGTTTAGTCAAAGTTGTGCGAGCGCTCTTAAAATAGAGTCCGAACTATGTCTTTACAAATTGATGATACAGTTTGATGAATATTTCTAGTCAATTACGGTAACGCAAGAGTCAGCATTTATTTGTTTGTTTTTGGAAATGTAAAAGGAAAAGTATCTCGAACTCCCAGCCTCTAGACCGCAGGAATTTGAGTTCCAGAGATTATGCGGGGGAAAACGCAAATGAATCACTGTGACGTAGTAAATGTCTACGGTATACGTCATAAGTATAACATGTATCCGTGTTTATTAATGTCGAAATTAACGCTTATATGTATTGAATTTTTTTTTAGGTTAAGCATTTTAGCAATCAAAACGATTCAATTAAAAATCCTAAGTCCTTCATTAATCAATACATTTATGTATCTTTTCACAGTTATTTAGATTATTTAATTTATTTGGTTTTATATATCCGCTTACGTATTTCATTGTTAGAAACTAGGTCTAGGTTCTAAAGAATTGACCTAGCTGTATAGAGACCAGTCAAGCGAAGAAAGACTTCCTTTAATTTCTTGAGCAAAGCAACAGTTAATTGTATATGTTTAGTTCTTAATAATGTCTTCGATCACAGCAATTCCGTAGATCAAAGTGTTAAGTATTACCACAGATAATAAAATACTATACTTGTATTACTATTCTATTATTCTCGTAGGTTGTTTGATGAAAGAGGTCCCTGGTAACACACAGTATGAAGTGCCAGGGTTTTGTTACTCATGGGGAAAGAGCAGACAAACTATTATTTCTGGAAATAACGCTTTTAAATATATCATTCTACGAAACGGTTATATTGCCTGGATTTATTGACATTTTAACTCGTAAACATACTAACCATGAAATTATTCGGCATCATTTTTTTTATATTTATTTAAAAAAGCAGTACATCTAAAATAGGATAATTTGACTACATCTGTAATTTATTTAAATGTTATTACGTTTATTGATGTTTGCTGTGGAATAAATACTTGAGCACACTTTGAAGGTGAAATAATTCAGCTACAATTGCGAAAAGTAAACACAACGATAACAGAAAACAAACTAAATGCAATGTATGAACAGTGTTTAAATACTAGCAATAATCAGAAATGGTTAACACAGTTACTTTAGATCGACTTCCCAAAAGAAGGAGGAACTCAATTCGTCTGTATGTTTATTTTTTTTATATGTGTTATACCATAACTCCGCACTAGTGGACCGATTTTGATAATTCTCTTTTTATCCGAAAAGTAGTGCTTGCAGGTGGGTCCCATTTTTCGTTTGATTTTTGGAGTCAAAGACTACGACGTAGTTAAATAGTTTACCTCAAAATCGCGCAACGAAATTTGGGGTCTGGTAAATATATAGTCTTATGAAAGTTGAATTAAAAAATTTTATTCGTTGTTTACATAGGTATTTATAAGTATGTGATAAAACAATAAATCCTAAGATTAAGGTTGTCGTTATTAAACTGAAAAGATACTTGAATCAAAATCTAGATCAAAATGTGAGGAATCATTCAGTGTAAAGTTCAGTTCGCTCGAGTATAAAACAACAATCCTCCCTCTTTTGCCAGTTATTCTGCCCAATCGCTGGCGCTGGCTGCACGCTTGTTGACCTTTGTACAAACACAAAAAAATGTAAGTTTATTTTTTTATTCTTTAGGCATAGACAACTGATAACATACGGAAAGTTTCTTTTTTATATTTTTAATTGTGGTTAAAACTTTAGTATATTAATTAATGTATTCTAGAATATTTTTTTCTAATTTCCAAATTAAAATATAGTTACCGTACCCTAAAAAGTTTAGTAGCATTATAAACCGCGTTTAATATTCGTCGTAGTATTGCAAACATTAACTTTTTGTCGGTGTAAATAAATAAGCTCCCACTAGTTATAAGAGGTTATTTAAAATTCAACTGAACGTATTTATAGAATTATTTTTCATTTAGAAAAAGTTAATGTTTATTACATTTAGGTTAATTATTATGTTTTTAGTTATGTCAGTATAATCGAGGCTTACGTAATATTGAAGGATCCTTTAATGAAGAGATATCGTGTTTGCGTCGTTTATCATATTTGTGTGAGTGTTACAGGCAATACAAACACTACGAAACGGTTAATAAACGATTGTTTTTAGCGGCGTCTCTAAGTCTAGACAGCCACTATTGGATACAATACATTCCTAAAAGAGCAAAATACCGACTTAAACTTTAGTTTAATAAAATAATAATACAATTATTTTGTATCTGTACAAAGTATGTTTGCAGTTGTATCTTTAGATTGTATTATATCTTGAATGACTTGGAGTTTCTTCATATCTTTTATTGATATTAAAATCATATGTTACTTGTAGATAAGATTAACGTCATAGATTTATAACCTACTAGGTGTAACTTGCGACTTCGTCTGCATGAAATTAAGAAAAAAAACGACATCGAAAAAATATGGAATATGTCCAGTAGTTTTTGAGTTATTTCTAATACAAAGATACAAATCTTTCCTCTTTATAATATTAGAATAGATAGAAAATATAAACTTCAGCCTTTTCTTGGGAATAAAATTCTTAGTCACATCTCGACTAAATGTTTCCCTTTGGTCTGTTCGGCCTACCAATAAATCGGCCTAGTAGGAAATGTTTTCTTATTGGACAGAATGATTCTATAGATTTAATGGGAGTGATAAGGAAATAAGCACCTTGTTATTTTAGTAGTTCTACTTATATTTTTATTAATAACACAAATATATTTGGAATCTATTCCAAAGGTATTTCTTTGTTGTTCTTGCTTCTCTTAATAGCTCTATTGCTTCGATAATGTAGCATTAATTAACTAATCTATTCAGTTATTTAAAAATAATGAATAGCATGATGTTTGAAATTTTAAAATTGTTTCGTTTTTCCAGTTAGTAATTTTACATAAATGAGAAACGTTTCATTGAAAATACGTAAATTTTTTGTATGCGGTCGGTATTTTCCGTAGGATAATTAAATTTTGCAAGTCATCTTCCGTGATGTAATGTTAGCAAATGATAAAAACCAAATAAAACGATAAGAATGTTTCAACAGATGTTCTACAGAAGACATGTTTTATAATTATCCGCCTGAAAAAATATTGTGTCGATAGAAAAATAAAATTGTAGGATGTAATGGGTGTTTTCCATTGGGCAGATCGGCTGACTGATCTCAACGGGATTTTTTTCTAATCGCAAAAAAAAAGACAGTCAATTGATCGGTAGGCCGATCGACCGAATGGGAAATACCCAATGTAATTAATTATAAAGTTGTTCTGTGAACTCAGTTGTTTTAAATAGTTCTAATTTGAATAAGTAGATGTGACGCTTGGATAATAATTATATCCAGTTTCCATGCTATGTATAGTTACGATGCAAGGAAACTAACCTATAATTTGAAACTTTTGAAATTAAGCAAAAGCGTCGCTTGCTCAAAAAGACGCTGGGAGAACTGTGAAAAACAAAAAACATGTTTGAAACTGGTAATATTTGTAATTATAAGTTTCTATGTTGTAAAGAATTTCCACTATTTTCAAGTCGTTTAATATGCAAATAAGTGTTTGGACTAAATTGGGTAGCCAGTAAAAGCTTTGAGTTAAAATATTACTACTGACGGAAAAACATTCATTAGTCGCAAATATTGTACGAATGCCAAATTATTACTTTTACAGTCCAATTTATTGATACACTAGCTATGCGCGATTCGCTCGCGTGAAATTAAAAAAAAAAACAGTTAAAAACTACAGCCTGTGTTACTCATACATAAATTACCTTTCTTATGGTAAAGGAATTTCTAAAATCGGTCCAGTAGTTTTTGAGTTATCCCTATACATACAAAAGTACAAATCTTTCCTCTTTATAATATTAGTATAGATGTTGAAATCTATTATGTTATTAAATGATTGATGATAGAATAATGCTTCGTGTTGTGTACACCCAAAGTGTAATTTAGTTGAAAGCTCCATAGTTTGATTTGTTAAATAACTATGCCATAGCCATAGAAATAGAAAGGCGTAAATATCGGTCAAGGTAAAAGTCACGGCACGCAGGAAGTAATACAAGCTACAAATCGCTTAATGTAAAAAACTCATTCGTTCAAGAACACAATACAATCTAAAGAGCGAAACAACTATCAAGATAGAGAAAGAATAAGAAAAAATGATAGATCAATTAATGAATTAATCTTAAAAAATCTTTACAAATAATGTAGCATTTAAGCTTACGTAAAAACAATTAACTAAGAAATACCCAGGTTTGGATTAAAAAAATTGATAATGCAATATGCAAATCCTTATTTTGGCAATGAATTTAGTGAACTGTTTCAATTTTCGAGTTGTTATTTTCAAGAGGTCAATGTGCTTTTGAAACATAACCTCAAAGTCTAACAGGTTGCTTTGAATGCTATGCAAGAGTTACGGTCACATGATATCTGACAAAAGACTGATGCGACAAAGGGACTAGCCTGAGTGATATTTAATACTGCATCCTTTATTCTTCTATTGTGGTCTAACGGTACATTTTAGCCGTCCTGTTCATTATAAAACATTTTTTTTAAATTGATACTTTCATCTCAATCAAATAAAAAATCAATTTAATTCAATGTTTTTTTTTTATCTTTACAATTAATTTAGTTAGATCACTAGCTTTGAATAGTGACTCGTTTCGTTTATCTCTGTTTTAGAAAAGAGTTTTTTTCATAAATCTAAAATGAAATAAAACCAGTTCAATGTTCAATTTCAAATTGAAATTTTTACACTAAACTATTTTTCACTCATGAATATTAATTCCGTAGATATATATTAGTCATAACTGTAGCTGAGAACATGTTTTTACCTAAAGCAAACGTCCTTGTATCGACCCGACGCCAACAATGACTGAGCAGAATTTTGCTTATAACACTTGGGATTGTTTATTTATAGCACATTGATTTTTTAAAATTCCGGTTTGGTAACCTTGTGCCTGTCCTTGGAAATAAACGATATTGAATATTTTGAATGAGGAATTTTTCACTGATACTGGCTGAATTA